CCCCACCCCCTCCTGCTCCCCAGGAGCTGCCCCATCTATTCCTAGCGGGCACAGACAGTGGATTAGCAGGAGGGTGGGGTGTCGTGTTTTGTAGCTTTGCCAGCAAGGCCTATTTGGGACCAGTGGCTGTGGTTGGCATCACAGTCCCTTCTTTCCCTGCTTGCCCGTGACTTCAAGTGCCCTTTTTAGGGGACCCATCAGGTTCTGTGCCTGGAAAGCACCAGGGAGGCCCAAAGGAGCAGAGTAACGTGTGTAAACATTTCTTTAGTCAGTTGGCAACTCAAGGTTTCCCCCTGATCTCTCCCCTTCTCTCTCTCTCTCTCTCTCTCTCTCTCTCTCTCTCTCAAACCCGGGCTAAAGATTGGCACTGCTGGCCTAGCAGTGCCCTCTGCTGGCCAGCAGAAGCATCACGGAATAGAAGGGAGAAAGGAGAGAGACGAGCCAATCAAAGGTTTCTGCTCACTTGGCGCTCCAAGTGCTGCCCTTGCAGCCCCTGTGTCGGCCGTCTTGCACTCTCGTTTTCTGGCCAGGGCGTGGCAAGGGCCTGGGTTCCACAGCTTCGCAAGCCACACGTGGGGCGCTGGAGTTAGCAGGGCCGTTTGCCTTTGCTTCCGGCTGAGATCTCAGCCCCCCTCCTTCAGCGAGTGTGATGCTGCTTTTCTCTCGCTCACCTCCCGGGGCCAGGATACCTGTGTGTGTGTGTGTGTGAGACAGAGAGAGAGAGAGAGAGAGAGAGAGAGAGAGAGAGAGAGCCAGGCTTGCTACTTGGCACAGCAGAGCGCGGCTCACCTCCTGCAACAAGACTGGCTGGACTCTGTGGACCCAGAGGAGAGGGGTGCAGTCAACAGCTGCTGGTGCTTGCAGCGCCCGAGAGCATCCGTGGCAAAGCGGGGGAAGAGGGCAAGCCCAGGAAAGGGTCCGTCCTCTTGCATATCGGCCTGGCCTCTCAGGGTCTCTGGGGCGCCGCAGCAGTGGAGCCATCGTCTGACTCCTTTTGGATGGCCATCACCTCCTGCCAACGAGGGGGCCTCTGGAGGGCAGCGAGGTCAAGCGTGTTTCAGCTGAGAGAAGTGGCCAGCAACTGCTGATCGCGACAGCTGCCCGCAGATCTGCGCGGCTTGCCTCCTGAGGTGCCTGCAGAGGCCCTTGTGACCTGCGGGGCCCCTCCTCACTACCCCCTCCCTCCTTGCAGCTTAAATCTGAGCCAGAGTGACATCCTCACGGTCTACGATGGAGACGATCTCAGTGCCCACCCACTGGCACAGTTCCTGGGCAGCAGTGGGCCCCAGAAGCTCTACTCCTCCACGCCAGACTTGGCCGTCCAGTTCCACTCAGACCCGGCTGGCCTCATCTTCGGGAAAGGGCAGGGCTTTATCATGAGCTACATCGGTGGGTGAGCTTGGGGTACCTTGGGGTGCCCACCTTCCAGCCAGGAAACAGAGCATCAAGGAGACGCACCGAAGGGCCTTCTTGGGGTCGAGCAGAAGCGGCCTGGAGGGCTGGACAGGTTGGGGGCTGAGCAGCTGCTTTCCCCACTCCATGTGGTTGGAGATGGAGAAGGGGGTGAGGTCTGGGGTGCCCAAAGGGGCAAGGGCAGGGCCCGCGGATGGACTACCTGTGTCTCAGGTAGAGTTTCCTGGGCTCTACCTCGGCCTCTCCATTCGGAATGGAAAGAGCCCTCCCAGCAAAGCCGAGGGCAATGCCTGGCCAGCACAACCAGCTGGGGGGGGGGGGCAAATCCCATTCTCCGCCCCTGGCTTTCCCTGGGCCACAGACATCTGAGTGGGCCCCAGCGAAGAGCTTTCTCGGGCCCTCTGCGTCTGTGGCCGAGGAGCGCCTGGCCGCCCCCAAGCCTTGCCCGTTCTCACGGGGGCCCTTTTCGGCTGCAGAAGTCTCACGGAATGAGTCCTGCTCGGACCTGCCAGAAATCCAGAATGGCTGGAAGACCACTTCTCACACGGAGCTGGTCCGGGAGGCCAGAATCACCTACCAGTGCGACCCGGGCTATGATATCATTGGCAGGGACACCCTCACCTGCCAGTGG